TCGTCTTGACTCTCCGGTAGATACTTTGGGGCACTCTTTGAAGTTCTTTGTGTTGGTTGAATAGATGAATCTGAGATTGTGTGATGCATATCGTATAATCATACCTACGGATACTTGAGGTGACATTGGAGTATCTAGGTGACATTCGGGTTTTGGTTGATTTGTGTCTTAAGGTGTTATTCTAGTACGAACTCTTGAATAGATCGATCAGAAAGAATAACTTTGAGGTGGTTTCGTACCCTACAATAATCTCTTTGTTTGTTCTCCGCTATTAGTGACTTTGGAGTGACTCTTTGTTGCATGTTGAGGGATAGTTATATGATCAAATTATGTTATTATTGTTGAGAGAACTTGCACTAGTGAAAGTATGAACCCTAGGCCTTGTTTCAATCCATTGCAATACCGTTTTCGCTCACGTTTATCATTAGTTACCTTGCTGTTTTTATATTTTCAGATAACAAAAACCTATATCTACCATCCATATTGCACTTGTATCACCATTTCTTCGCCGAACTAGTGCACCTATACAATTTACTATTGTATTGGGTGTGTTGGGGACACAAGAGACTCTTTGTTATTTGGTTGGAGGGTTGCTTGAGAGAGACCATATTCATCCTACATCTCCCACGGATTGATAAACCTTAGGTCATCCACTTGAGGGAAATTTGCTACTGTCCTACAAACCTCTGCACTTGGAGGCCCAACAACGTCTACAAGAAGAAGGTTGTGTAGTAGACATCACCGGCCAAAAGGGGCGCGCCATGGGGGGAGTCCTACTTGGACTCCTAGTCCAAGTAGGATTCGGCACCCTCTCCTTCCTTCCACCGGAGAGGAAAAGGGGAAAGGAGAGAGAGGGAGAAGGAAAGAGGGGGGCCGCCCCCTTCCCCTAGTCCAATTCAGTTTGGGCAGGGGGGCGCCCCTCCTCACGTGGCCTTTCTCCTCTCCTCCAATATGGCCCAATAAGCCCAATACTTCCCCCGGGGGGTTCCGATAACCCCTCGGCACTCCGGTAAAATATCCGAATCACTCGGAACCATTCCGATGTCCGAATATAACCTTCCAATATATGAATCTTTATGTCTTGACCATTTTGAGACTCCTCGTCATGTCCGTGATCTCATCTAGGACTCCGAACAAACTTCGGTCATCAAATCACATAACTCATAATACAAATCGTCATCGAACGTTAAGTGTGCGGACCCTATGGGTTCGAGAACTATGTAGACATGATCGAGACACATCTCCGGTCAATAACCAATAGCGGAACCCGGATGCTCATATTGGCTCCTACATATTCTACGAAGATCTTTATCGGTCAAACCGCATAACAACATACATTATTTCCTTTGTCATCGGTATGTTACTTGCCCGAGGTTCAGTCGTCGGCATCATCATACCTAGTTCAATCTCATTACCGGCAAGTTTCTTTACTCGTTCCGTAATACATCATCCCACAACTAACTCATTAGTCACATTGCTTGCAAGGCTTATAGTGATGTGCATTACCGAGAGGGCCCAGAGATACCTCTCCGATACTCGGAGTGAAAAATCCTAATCTTGATCTATGCCAACCCAACAAACACCTTCGGAGACACCTATAGAGCATCTTTATAATCACCCAGTTACGTTGTGATGTTTGATAGCACACAAGGTGTTCCTCCGGTATTCGGGAGTTGCATAATCTCATAGTCAGAGCCTCAGAGGAATATGTATAAGTCATGAAGAAAGCAATATCAATAAAACTTAACGATCATTATGCTAAGCTAACGGATGGGTCTTGTCCATCACATCATTCTGTAATGATGTGATCCCGTTCATCAAATGACAATGGATGTCTATGGTTAGGAAACTTAACCATCTCTGATTAACGAGCTAGTCAAGTAGAGGCATACTAGGGCCACTGTGTTTTTTCTATGTATTCACACATGTACTAAGTTTCCGGTTAATACAATTCTAGCATGAATAATAAAAATTTATCATGATATAAGGAAATATAAATAACATCTTTATTATTGCCTCTAGGGCATATTTCGTTCAGTGAATGTCATGGATATTAGCTTCTTCGACTCCATACATTCCTTGGCACTTCCCATTGCACCTACAAATTTAAAGGAGCTGACAGAATCTATCGAAAAGGCATATGATGAGGATGATATGCAGAAACTGGCCAGAGTGTTTACAATGCTGCAGTCTTGCATGGTGGAGGTTGAAAGATCAAGGAGGTATGGGTTACAAGATACCACACATGGACAAAGCAAGAGTGCAGAGTGAGGAAAGGTTACCTATAGCTCTAAAATGGGATGGTGAACTCTATCAGAAAACCTTCGAGATTATAGTTGATCACTAAAGGAGATTATAGATGGAGTACTTTGAAATGAACTATGTACCCCATCACTAAGGAGATCACTAGAGGAATTTGTAGTGCATCTATTGTATTTATTGCATCTACCATTACAAATTGAATATTCTACCTTATACTCCATCTAGTCTACATCTTTTGCATCAACTTCAGCTACGCTAAATAATAATATAGTCTTCATATATATGGCCGAATATATGCATATGAACAAAATAATGTACTTCATCTAGTCTACATCTACTCCAAATGGTCATCTACAGATGCTTACACTATACATTTATAGGTCATACCAAAAGATAAATGGTCATTTACTCCAAAATGCATAGATGTATAGACCATTTACAGATGTCATCTACTCCAAATGAAAGTACAGATGTACTCCATTTACAGGAGTACTGCAAATGTACATATTACACTCCATTTGAAGGAGTAATAAACAATAAGTCAGTAATTGCAAATGCATACACAATTTACAGATTTCATTTACAATTGCAGTAAATTTTACTCCAAGCATTAGTAATTTTTTTCACGTGGTCATCTAAGTACATCTAACAACAAAGGAATTTACTACAAACATCAGAGAAATTTTACTGCATCTACCGAATAGTAGGAGTACTACTTCAAATGGTCATCTAAGTATACTTATACATTTGCAGAATGTACACCTAGATATAATCTACTCTTTTGCTACAATAGTACTTGTTACAACATGTACTGCATTACCAAAGTAACTGCATCTACAGACAATACTACGTATACACCTACAAACAAAAGGAGTACTGCATCTAGGGTCTGGTTGTTTAGAAACTTGAACACCATGCGTGGGGGAAAAATAGTGCCTGGGCAGAGGCTGAGAATGGTGGACGTTTTCGCCTGACAATGCTAGCCTGGTGTATGTGTGTTTGGTTCCTGCCTAGGCTATTACTTTGTATTTTAGTGATTAAGAAATACTCACACGTAGGACATTTTGCTCATGGCTCGTGGTTAGGCCCAGGCTGCTGGCTAGGCGCAAGAGATGGGATGCCTGGCACAGGCTAATGACAATGCCAGCTTCTTTCATTTTCTTTTTATATCTAGGCCAAGCTAATCACACATCCAAGGATAACCAGGCCAGGCAAACGTTTACTTTTCCAGGACACCATCCAAACACTTGTCAGGCGAGTTTCAGGGATGGTCCAGGCCAAGCATGCAACACCCATGTCACGAAACAAACATGACCCTACTACTGCATTACCCAGGCACTCTTGCAACATTACTTGCTACAACTAATGGAGTAAGAAATGAACAAGTCTACTGCATCTAATGGAGTGAGAAATAGACAAGAACATCAACAACATCTACAACCAAGAACAAGAACATCTACTGCATCTAATGGAGCAAGAAATGAACAAGTCTACTGCATCTACAGATAAGGACTACATCTACTGCATCTACATGGCGGGGAGAACATCTACTCAATGGGGAGTACTAAAACTACAAATAAGAACATATGTTGATGAGTATGTACCGCATTATCCGAGAGAGAGAGAGAGAGAGAGAGAGAGAGAGAAGACACACGATGGGGAAGGTGCAGGAGTCGCGGGTCCTGTCGACGGCTCCGTGTTGACTCGCTGCCACCGACACCAGATCTAGCACCGCCGCACGCAGATCCAACGTGGTAGCCACCAGGTCCGACGATTCCTTGCCGCTTCAAACAAAAATGATGTTTTTTTTTGCTTTAGGTGATGCCAGAGGACGGTAGAGTCAGGGAACGATGGAGCCGAGGAATGTTGGGGACGATGGAGCCAAAAGCCAGGGAGACGGTGGAGCCGGGAACGCCAAGGGATGGTGGAGAATCGCCGGAGCGTGAAGAAGTTCACTCGAGCGGAATGGAGGAGAAAATGGAGGGGAGTGGGTGTCGATGTCGAGGGGAATGAAGGTGAGTGTCGATGTCAATGCCGATGAATGAAATTTTCTTTTCTTTTCTTTTTTGCATACTAGTAATAATGTATGTGCAATGCACGTTTATATTAGGTAGGATATTAGTTGCACATTATATTAGGTAAGATATATCTGTTGCACGGTGGTATTTGATAAGATATCAATTTCTTTTTCGCGGGAATGGTATGATATTAATTACATGACAGATTTCATGGGATAACGTTGAGTCAAAATGTGTTTATAACAAATGGCAGTAGTGGGTAATTAGAGCGTTAACGTGTTTGGTGCTCAACATTGGAGCGATTTCAACCGCTAGATAATATGATTTGACGGTCGTGATGGTTTGGATCTGTCCCTTTGGATCTTTTTATATTGGTATAGATATAAATATAGATAGATAGTGGTAATCGCCTCCATTAAATGGGATTAGAGGGACTAGGAGTATTAATTTTCTTCGCTTTCTCATTTTTTTTCGGCCGCAAAATCCTCGGAGATGGCAAACACGAGAGTTTCTCGCTTCTACTCGTTGACGTCAGGTGTTTGTCAAAAAGAAAAAACTCGTCACGTCAGGAATAGAAGGGAGGTGGGCAGAAAAACCGGCGAAAGGCGAAATTTCTCGAATCGGACGTGAGATCCGGATTTCGACCCAGTCCCTTGGCCTGGTTCCGTCACGGGCTAGGGTTTCGCCGTCTCTCCAGCGTTGCGGGTCGGGGCGGCGAAGATGGCAGGGAAGGGCGCCAAGGCGACGGCCGCCAAGGCGGCGGAGAAGGAAAAGGGGAAGAAGGCCCCCGGCTCCCGCTCCTCCCGTGCCTGTTCCCAGGTCTGTTCCTTGCATCGTACATTGAGTTAAGATGCTGTTCTGATGTGCACTTTTTCGTGTTTTGAGGGGCACCTTAGATTCATTCTGTAATGTTGGTTGGAATGCTCGGCGTGGTCTAACGAAATAATTGTAAGAAGAGTATAAGGGCGTCCTCTTACAAATTGGACAGCTTTGAGCGTTCTCACAGAATTTTATAGTAGATCCGGCGAAGTGCTCGGTCTGTCTAGTTGCTTCCGTGGATGCACTGGTGGCTAAAAGATTTCTATTCGTCTTTCACAAATTGGGATTTTGGGGGGACTTTGTTGTGCCGTGCCCTTGAAGTACCGTGTTCCAGCTGCTAGGGTGTGTTCACTCTTGTAGCCTCCACTTCACTTCTTCACTGCGGTGTGTGATATATTCTACCTATGGACCTCCACATGAGTGGATCCTCACAGAGGATACCTCGTTTGCTTGCCATTATTTGCTTACACCTGATTACCTGAGAGCAGACAGGATACTTTTTGGATCACCTAGATTTGATAGTATGGTCATCCGTATTATATTGTATAAGACTGCAAGATTTTTGACAAATTTTAGACATGTTCTTCCCTAATGGTTAATAGTGATAAAATAACATTTTGCTGTATAGGAGGAGCCAGTTCCAAAGAAAGATGTGTATCAATTGTTTGCTGAGAAGGTTCGGGATAACAAGCAGCTGGAATCGAGATGGGCTGTCATGCAAGAAACTCGCGTTGAGTATTTTCGTGGAAAAGATTTTACTACCTTCATCAAGAATCATCCAGAAGTTGGGGAAATTTTAGGGCCGGATAAAGATATGGAAGCTGAAGATATTGTCAACACTTTGCTTATCAAGAACCTCGTAATAAGGTGTGACCGAGTTTGGAAAACTGTGAGACCAGGAAAGAAAAAGTTATCATCCTGGCCTGCTCATTTGGAGATACATCAGGTAACTTTATGTGCTGCTTAGGAAGAATGCTTTATCATATGACATCTAGTTGTTCTTATTAGTGGTTACTACTGTCTCCTGTATAATGTAGCCTATACAGTTAATATTCCCAGTGTGTGGATGTTCCTAAAGTTGTTTTTAGTGTTATTAAAGAAAGCAATCGTTTATATTGCATTCATATTCTTATCATCATTTTTCGGTGTCAAGTGAGTTTATTTGTATGATTTAGAGGACCATTACCTTGTCCTTTCCAATTGATATATGTGTTCATGTGAGGTAACGATTGTGTCAGCCTATGAAAGGTGAAACCGAAGCACCGATATGGCCAAGTCTGCCGTGTCTGCGTATAAAACGCCGGCGATACATGGATAAGCTAATCCCCCAAGTATCCCACCTTCTCTTATTAAAAGAGAAGAGAATATTCCGGACACGCCTCCGGTACGCCGCTGATACGTCGTGAGCAAGGG